TTTATTTGAGCTAAACTGATGATGTATGCCAGAGAACAAGATCTCAAATGCTCCTATGAAATATATAGTGTGGGGTTTTTTTTGTTATTGTTTTGTGTGTGTGTGTGTGTGTGTGTGTGTGTGTTTTCTTTTATTGATTTCAGAGAGGAAGGGAGAGAGAGAGAGAGAGAAACATCAATGATGAGAGAGAATCACTGATCGGCTGCCTCCTGCACACCCCCTACTGGGGATCAAGCCCGCAATCCGGAAATGTGCCCTTGACCGGAATCGAACCTGGGACCTTTCAGTCCATAGGCTGATGCTCTATCCACTGCTAGGGCTGAAATATATAGTTTTAATTATGAAACACTTAAGGTTCCAAATTTTGCAGATCTCCTAAAGGAACTAGTAAATAAATGGAACTGTAGATGTGAACTACTAAGGTTAAGAAGAAACATCAAGAAGTACTGTAACGTTTGAAGTATTAACTCCTCTATTTATACTACGGAACCAATTTCTTTTCCTCTCGCAGCCTTGAAGAGCCCAGCAGCATTCCATGAGCAGATAAAAAGCTTGGAACGAGCCAGAGTAAGAAATCTCACTTTAAAATGTTCTACTTCTCTGCTTCTCTCATTTCAAAACACCTGTGGACAAGTAGCAGTCTTACTCCTAAATATGTCAAAAGAGGAACTGCAGTGAATTTGCAGGATACATGGCATATAGAGTAATATATCCTGGGGTAGTTTTTATCTTAGAAATTGGTAGAAAATACATGACATTCAAATTTTGTTCTTTTAAAACTAGTGACTAGTTTCGTACATACAGGACAAATCATACTTCTCTGCTTACTTGCTTTCAGGGCATCACCACAGTTTTCAGAATAATAATGAAGTAATTCTGCCATTTGTTACCCCAGCAGATGGACACAGACCCTAGTGTTACCTGTACATGTGCCCAAGGGTAGGAGAATCTGGCCAAATCAAAGAATATGGCCACAAGCCACTCTGTGTTATTCTTTGAGTTGACTCCATCATAGTTGCATACCGAATAGATATTTATTATTTTTCTTTAAAAGTACCAATATGCACATTTTTTCTTTTTGTTTTAGGGAAAACTTCTATCATGATTTATGAAAAGCATTTTCCAAAAATTCCTTTAGAATTTTCTCAGGATGCAATAATGATCTCTTAGAGTCTTATAAAATATAAAACCCTATTGTTTGGAGTTGAGTACAGTTCTGAATAAGAAAATCTGATCAAGGATATGAACTCATCAAAGAAAATATATGAGAAATTTTAGTAAATTGTTATTTAGGTGGATTTTTTTTACTTGACCTGAAGTTTAGATTTTTTTAGATATTTAAATGTTCGAAATTTTATGTCTGTTCAAAAATCAATTTCAAAATTATGAGCCTTTGCCTTTCCCAAGTTTTAAAATAAAGGTCTATAACTTGATTACTTTATACCAGCATATACTATGTCCTTGTACAATGTTTGAAGGCTGCAATTTAAATCATATATTGGATAATAGTTTCTCAAAGCACTAATTTCTACTTTTCTGTTCCTCTCAAAATCATGACCAAAAGGGTATCAATTAATTTAAATGGAGTACCTTGAGAGAAAAATATGTAAAACCACAATAAGTCATAATCAACTTATGGCAAGATTATCTCTCTTTTTTTTTAAGACTGAAAACTTTTTGAAGCACAAGATTCGAAGTCGACCAGATCGTTCTGAACTTGTCAGGATGCACATTTTAGAAGGTAAAAATTTTATTTCTGCTTGTTTTATGTGAGAATGCCGCCATTTCTTTTTATTCCCATTTAATAACTTTTACCCCACAGGCTGACATCCTCCAAATTGGATAGCAACATGAAGACCCAAAGTTATGTTAGGTACATGGGAAAGGTTTGATTCTCCAAATAACCTACTGATGGACTGACTCTTCCCCTCCAGCTGGTACCATAGGTGTCTGTCATACTGTCCTGGAAAAACTTTTCAGTCCAGAGGATTTCTTCTTCAGAGAGGGACATGTGCCCACTCATTAAGTCATAAAGGGTACAATAGCCACAAGTCTAACCATAGATTTCCCTGTTATGTCTGCCTGGTACAATGTCCACACCTAACATTATTGCTTTGTTGCTACTTGCCCACAACTGTCCAGCTTGATTTAACCATTATCTTAAACACCCTCCACTCAGCCCACCAAATTTTCTCCATCTGGCCTCATCACTTATGAAGCTGGTAGGGATGGTTCTATTCCATCTTTCATGAGACGAATGGCTAAGGCCAGGATATTTTTCTCTCTGAAGACATAGCATTCTTTTTTTTATTATTGTTGGCACTATTACACATGTCCCCCCCCCCCCCCCCCCCACCCCACCATCACCATTGTTGTCTGTGCCCATGGGCTACGCATATGCATTTTTGTTCTTCGGCTAATCTCTTCTATTCCCCCACCCCCACACTCCTCCCCTTAGCTCTCTCAGTCTGTTCCATACCTCCATGCATCTGATCCTATTTTGTTCGTCAGTTCATTTTGGTCATTAGATTCCACATATAAGTGAGATCATATGGCATTTGTCTTTCTCTGACTGGTTTATTTCGCTTAGTTTAATAATCTCCAGGTCCATCCATGCTGTCACAAAAAAAAAGAGCTTCTTTTTTACAGCTGAGAGAGAGAGAGAGAGAGAGAGAGAGAGAGAGAGAGAGAGAAGTGAGAAATGTTAATCCCACACATGCCCCACCAGGGGTCGAACCCACCACCTTTTGGTATACAGGACAACACCCCAACCACCTGAGCCACAAGGGCTTTTATCCACTCATCTACTGATTCGCACTTTGGCTCTTTCTAGATCTTGGCTATTGTAAAGAACACTGCTATGAACATCAGGGTACATATATTCTTTCTTATTAGTGTTTCGGGGTTCTTCGAATACATTCCCAGTAGTGGGTTCACTGGGTGAAACGGCAGTTCCATTTGTAATTTTTTGAGGAAACTCCACACTGTTTTCCACAGTGGCTGAAGACAGAGCATTCTTGAAAGCTGGTATCACCACCATAAATTTCTCAAGTTACATTTTCTTTCATTGTTTTGCTTCTCTGACTAATTTATTGAGCAAGACTAGGAGCTTTACCCTGTGATAGTCTTCAGTATGTTAAAACTTGAGAAGATACAGAAAGAATCTGAAAACTTCTCAAATATTCAGACACAATTATCATGTAGAAGAAAGATTAGATTTGTTCTCTCTGGCCTGATGACAGATTTAGTATTAGAATTAGGTTGACATGAGAATTAGGTTGACGTTAAAAGTAAAAAGTATTAGGTTGTAGCTCAACATAAGGAATAATACCCTAAAGGTCAGGTATGTCCAAATACAGACTCTTCAGGAAGCCACATGGTGGCTGTGATCAGAGGTGTTTAGTCATTGGCCAGTGAGCCAGACACCAGAGGCCAACAAGTGAACCTGTCTTCATGGAGTTTACATTCTAATGGTACAGCCAGATAAACACACAAAATAAATGAATTACACAATCAGAAAAGTGCTTTATAGGGAATAAAGAGGCTGCTGTGAGAATAAGTACAGGCTGACACCACATTAAGGATGTTGTAAAGAAGCTCCAAGTATAAAGTTAGCCTCTACAACCCCAAGTAGGGTCTCTTCTAGTCCAAAGAATCTATGATTATGTGACTGTCTTCATATCTGGGGCAGGAAGTGATAGCCCCTGGCTGATAAACTCTTCAGGTTGTGTTCTCAGAAGTCCACTGGACTGAAAAAACATTTCCAGAACTCCAGTGGTAGGGCAGGAGCCGCTACCAGCTATCAGGGATAAGTGAACCTCCAAAGAAGTAATTTACTGGTAAGTGACTAGGTAATGGCTCTTTCTCTGCCTGCAGACATCTTGACCTATAAGAGGCATTTTTGGAGGAACAATGCTGCCTGTTTCAACTTACCCCCTAACTGTAACAGGCTTTATTAATATAATTAAAACCAAGGCCAATACATTTAGCTATCAAAAGAAATCATATTTGCTTTATATAAAGAAGGCTACCCAACATTTAAAAACCTACTTATGTACATGACTGAACCTTAAGTGATGTTTTTAGGACATCTGTACTCAAGTTGGGATTTTTAAAGTAAGAAAAAATGTGTCATCTATACTTTTTAAAATGCTCTAAAACCACCCCCAAGTTATTTTAACATTATCCCAATTTGATACTTGGCAGGCAAAAGTCTAAATTGTTTTCTGAAGTTTAGGAGCTAAAATCCAGCCTCAGCCTAATGGAAATGAGGTGGTAATAAGACTAGGAACAGAAACATACCGAAATGCCAGCCTCTGGGTATTTATTTTTGGAATAGTTTCTTTCCAAACATATTCCTGGTATCACGAAGATTGTGTTGATGGGAGAGAAGAGGAAGGCAGAAGACTGCTCTACCTAAATCAGCGGTTCTCAACTTGTGGGTCGTGACCCTTTTGGGGCTCGAACGACCCTTTCACAGGGGTCGCCTAAGACCATCAGAAAACACATATATAATTACATATTGTTTTTGTGATTAATCACTATGCTTTAATTATGTTCAATTTGTAACAATGAAAATACATCCTGCATATCAGATATTTACATTACGATTCATAACAGTAGCAAAATTACAGTTATGAAGTAGCAACAAAAATAATTTTATGGTTGGGGGTCACCACAACATGAGGAACTGTATTAAAGGGTTGTGGCATTAGGAAGGTTGAGAACCACTGTAATTATATATGTGTTTTCCGATGGTCTTAGGCGACCCCTGTGAAAGGGTCGTTCGACCCCCAAAGGGGTCTCGACCCCACAGGTTGGCGACCCACAGGTTGAGAACCGCTGACCTAAATCTTAACAGAAGCATTTAAATATCAATCTAAGAGTGCATGATCTAATTCTCACAACCTATCATCCTGTATGGTTAGAAGTGTTTTATCTAACAAGATAGGGGCCACAATTAGTTATATGCAAAATCATAAAAATGAGATGACTACACGTTATTTTAACTTATGGACGTGCATTTATTTGCCAGAATTCTGACTGAGGGCTAGGACCTTCACTTCGGGGAAGGCTTTAATGAATGGAGTTCACTTCATCTTTCTTGCATAAAGCACAAAACCATTGTACATTGTCTACAATTTCCATTTATGGTGGAAGAAAAACTTTAAGACACTTGAAAAGCAATCTGAGTTTTTAAATCCTAGATTTTACAATTTTTCCCCAAATCTTTTACAGTTACTAACTGCCCTAATTTGACAGTGATTTTTTAATGATTTACCTTTCTCAAATTGTTCCAAAGCATTTGTACAGGTTTCTATGAAGCATTTTATTTTTTTATTGTTCTTACATTTTTTAAAAAATCTTTATTATTGAAAGTATTAATAATCATTCTATTTTTGAACTTTGTCTTTCCTCATAACATCTAATTATATTATGTATTGACATTAGCAATCCTGACAGATATGAACTATTTTGTGGACAATCATGGTTTTGGTGAGCATATAAATCAACTGGTGGAAAGATAAGTGCAGTGACCCATGATCAACATGAGTTTGAGCTGTACAGGTCTACTTATATATGATTTTTTCAGTGAATGCTATAAATGTATTTTGCCTTCCTTAAAATTTTCTTAGTATCATTTTACTCTAGCTTACTTTATTCTAAGAATACTGTGAATAATACATATAACATATAAAATATGTGTTAATCGGCTATTTAAATTATTAGTAAGGCTGGTCAACAGTAGGCTATTAGTAGTTAAATTATATGTAGATTTCTGACTGTGGGGGGAGTCCACACACCAAACCCCTGAGGTGTTCAGGGGTCAGCTATACTCAGATGTGCCGCAGAGTAGTTTATCGGCCTCAGGCTTGCTTTGGGCTTCAACAAGGACATTTTACCTACAAAATGAAGAACATCAGTTAATCCTGAGAATACTTATGGGGACTTTCATTAAAAGACCTTCTGTATAATTTAAGAGGCAAGCAACTTTCAACTCTAAATTTTGCATTAACACCTCATCATTATGTTTAATCAATTATAAACATTATTTAGAACAATGTAATAAAATGTTAGAGTTATGAGAAACACAAGTAATTGACAGAATTATGCAAATGAACAAGTTACGATGTTTATAATAGTTTCACAAGTTCATTTATTTGTAAATAGATGAGTTGATGCTTTTATATGACCATTAATTACTATGTACAGTAATTGAATGTTCTAACAGACACAGGATTATTTATGTATGCAGAAATAAACCCAAATTCTTAATTATGATGATTGACTCTGTGACACATGGGGATCAATACAAGAATGTGATTTGAAGCTCTTCTCATTGTCTCCTGCAGAGAAGTTTATATCCTAAAATACAGATTTCTAAGATACAGTGTCTCTACTTCTAGGAACTGACTTTCCAATGAAGCCAAATCTAAAACACTGAACTTCTTGAGCCATGGACCACATCTGTCTTGTTCACCCTCTGTATCCCTGATACCTAATAAATGTGAATATGCCGCTCTTGCCATAAATGAACAATAGCAGTACCCCACTTTTTGCTTAAGTTCATGTTTATTTGAGTCAGTGGGCATCCATATTGTATAGGCAGTATAAAGCTATCCAGGACTAAAAATATAAAATATATACTGGAACAGTCTTAAAAAGTCATTTTCTTTTTCCATAAATATGTTGAGAACACATCAATATGTTTAAACCAATTTAACTTAAATTAGTTGGCCTGAAATAGCATTGTGGAATAGAGATAGTAATTCAAGTAATGGTTTAAGCTGTGTTTCTTCTTTTAGAAACATTTGCAGAGCCATCCCTGCAGGCCACTCAGATGAAGTTGAAAAGAGCTCGCCTAGCTGATGATCTGAATGAAAAGATTGCTCAGAGACCTGGTCCTATGGAGCTGGTGGAGAAAAACATCCTGCCTGTGGACTCCAGTGTTAAGGAAGCAATCATAGGCAAGACTTTAAAAACTTATTCTGGGAGAAAAACAGCTTGGCAGTTTTAGAGAAAACAAATTTACTTTTAAAGGCCAGCACCAATCATAAGTATTGTTTTCTGGTAGGTTAGAAATTAACACCTGCACTGATTCCATGATTATTATTATTACAGTTGTCCCTCAGCATCCAAGGTAGATTGGTTCCAGGACCCCCCATGGATACCAAAATCCTTGGATGCTCAAGTCCTGTATATAAATGCCATTCGCATTTAACCTACCTACCATCCTCCCATACACTTCAAATCATTTCTAGATACCTAATACCATGTTAATGCTATGTAAATAATTGTTAAACTATATTGCTTGGGAATAATGGCAAGAAAAAGTCTGTACATGTTCACTACAGAGGCAGTCATCTTAGGCCTAACTATGTAGTACATGTCAGCAACAATGTAACGTTTTGGGGAAATATTTTTGATCTGGAGTTGTTTGAATCTGAGGATGCAGAACCCACAGATACAGAGGGCTAACTGTATATTAGATACTGTTAAGAATAGCATCTCTTACCAGTAACACAGAGATTCTCCTTACATCCTAAGTTTAAGTCTTTAAGTTCTGATTTCCTTATCACATTGTCTAAGTTAGACTTATTGTACTATACTGTTTAGTTTATGTTGTTTTGTTTAAAATTTTTACAAAGTTCTTATTATTTTTGTTCTTTGTACTTCTAAGAAAGATAAAGAAAAATAGCTTGTTCTGTGTTAGTTCAGCAAGGTAAATAGAGATGAGTATATATGTATTCATTATGAATGGTAGTATTTTGTCCATCTTATCTCACTTTTATCATACTTTGTTACTAATGTTTCCACTTTTTTCTGGTATAAAATTTAGCATGAAAAATAAATTCCAGAATAATGCCACTTATTCAGCAAGCAATTTTTTTTTTTTTGGTTAATCCTCACCTGAGGATATTTTTCCATTGATTTTTAAAGAGAGTGGAAGGGATGGGGAGAGACAGAGAGAAACATCAATGTTAGAGAGACACATCAATTGGTTGCCTCCTACACGTACCAGACCAGGGCCAGGGATCGAGCCTGCAACCTAGGTACATGCCCTTGACAGGAATCAAAACCTGGCACCCTTCAGTCCATAGTTTAACACTCTATCCACTGAGCCAAACCGGCTAGGGCTCAGCAAGCAATTTTTTAAAGTTAATATTCTACTTGAAAACTATGATAGTTTCCATTACTCACGGGGACTTTCTGTTTTGCATTAGTATGAATTTCAATCTTACGCCATTCGTAGTCCATAATTCGAAGTAGTACAATCAGCTATGATTCCTTTTAATCCCAAGGAAACGGGCTCCCAAAAGCAAGGTATCAGTATAGCTGGGCCACTCCATGAAGTGGGACTTAACACGATACCCAGTCACCAGCCCCATTTTCCCCATTGCCTCTCACTGCTTTGTAGTAGTTGGATTCCATATCAGGATCCAAATAAGGTCCACATGTTGCCTTTGGCTGATACACCTCTTAAGTCTTAATCTTTTACATGGGCCTTCCTCCTTTCATTTCTTACTATTTATTTGTTGATGAATGTGGTGGTTTTATCTGTGGCATCTCCACATTCTGATTTTACTGGATGCATTTGCATCCACAGGTGTCATTAAAAACTTCCTGTCTCCTGCCGAAACCAGTTTGGCTCAGTGGATAGAGCATCGGCCTGTGGACTGAAAGGTCCCAGGTTCGATTCCGGTCAAGGGCATGTACCTGGGTTGCGGGCACATCCCCAGTAGGAGATGTGCAGGAGGCAGCTGATCGATGTTTCTAACTCTCTATCTCTCTCCCTTCCTCTCTGTAAAAAAATCAATAAAATATTAAAAAAGAAAAAAAAAACTTCCTGTCTCCTGTACTTCCTATAACTGGCAGTTGGATTCAAAGGCTTGACTAGATTCAGGTTTGATTTTCCCCCCAAGTACTTAAGGCAGGTAGTGGCGGGAAGTACATGATGTTCTTTTTTCTTTTTTTTTTTTTATAACCAGATTCCTAGGTTCTTAGAAAAAAACAGTATTCTCTTCCTTTTTCATTTTAAGTTTGGTATTCCAAGGCAAAAATCAGTTACAAATCATTTCTTTCTTTAGGCGTTGGGAAGGAAGGCTATCCCCAAACTCAGGGAGATTTCTCATTTGACGAAGACAGTAGTGATGCTTTGTCTCCAGACCAGCCCGCCAGCCAGGAGTCGCAGGGCTCGGCCGCATCCCCCAGTGAGCCAAGAGTTAGTGAGTCACCGTCTCCTGTGACTGCAAACACTCCAGCCCAGGTATCATCCTTCTTGTTTTTACCCCTAAATAGAGAAAGTACCTTGCTTTTTTGTATATCAAGTATATTTCTTGTATTTTACATATCAGTACATTCTCACCAGAAGAAAAGTCTGAAAATGTGGAGAAATATCTATTCACCTGTAATCTAACCACTGTTAACATTTTTCAGTAGATTATTGCAATTCATTTCTGTTCTATACACACATTTTTATTTTACAGTTTGTAACTCTTAAAATATTTCACATAACTTTTTTTTAGATATAATTCATATATCATAAAGTCCACCTTTTTTTACCACCTTAACCATTTTATTTTTTATTTTATTGGTTTTACAGAGGAAGGGAGAGGGAGAGAAATATAGAAACCTCAACAATGAGAGAGAATCATTGATCAATGAGAGAGAATCATTGATCGGCTGCCTCCTACACGCCCCCTATGGGGGATCGAGCCCACAACCCACGTATGTGCCCTTCACTGGAATCAAACCGGGGCCCTTCAGTCCACAGGCCAACACTCTTTCCACTGAGCCAAACCAACTAGGGCACCACCTTCACCATTTTAAAGTGTACAGTTCAGTAATGTTAAATATACTCACATTGTTGTGCAACAGATTGCCAGAATGTTTTCGTCTTGCAAAACTGAAACTATACCCAGTAAACAACTCCCAGTTCCTCCTCCCCCCAGGCCCTAGCAACCACCGTTCAGTTTCTGTCTTTATGAATTTGACTGCTTTAGATATTTCATATTAGTAGAATCATACAGTATTTATCTTTTTGTGACTGTCTTATTTCACTTAATATAACGTCCTCAAGGTTCACCCATGTTGTAGTATGTGACAGAATCTCCTTTATTTTTAAGGCTGAATAATACTCCATTGTATGGATTTACATTTTTTTAGCCATTTGTCAGTGGACACTGGGTGGTCCCACCTCTTGACTTTTGTAAATAATGGTGCTGTGTACATGGGTGTGGAAATCTTGTTTTCTAGACTTGTTTGCAATTCTTTTGGGCATATACCCAGAAGTGAAATTGCTGGATCATATGGTCATTCTATTTTTAATTTGTTAAGGAAGCTGCATATTGGTCTCCATAGTGGCTGTACCATTTCATATTCAGCAGTGCACAAGGATTCCAATTATCCACATCCTTGCTGACACTTGTTAATTTATGTTCTTGTAATAGTAGCCATGCCAGTGGTGTGAGGTGATACCTCCCTATGCTTTTGATTTGCATTTCTTTAATGATTAGTGATGTTGAGCATCTTTTCATATGCTTGTTGGCTATTTCTATATTATCTTTGGAGAAATGTCTGTTAAAGTCTTTTGCCCATTTTTTAATCAGATTATTTGTTTTTCTATTTTTGAGTTGTAGGAGTTCTTCATATATTTTGGATATTAACCTCTTATCAGATATATGATTTGCAAATATTTTCTCCCATTCCATGTGTCACTTCTTCACTCTGTTGATAGTGTCCTTTAATGCAAAGAAGTTTTTAAGTTTGATATAGTCCCTTGTCAATAAATATATATCACTTTTTATTGCTACGTAGTATTCACTTGAACTGAAATACTGCATCTCTTTTAACCAGTTTCCATTGTTGGTTATTTGGACTTATTTCCTGTTTTTCACTCATA